TGACACCACATAGACAAAGATTTGTTGAAGCATGGATTAATCGAGTGCTACATTTGGGTAACACTACGACTAATCGGTATGTATTTATTTTTAGTATTTCTAAATTGTATTTTTTTTTTAATTTTTTTAAAATATTTTAAATATGTATTAATTTTAGGGTTGAGTCTGCTCATTGGAAGTTAAAGCAAATGTTGGGGAACAGTATTGGTGACATGGTCAAATGTTGGGAGGCTATGAATGACAACTTGAAGTTACAATTGAGTAATATTAGAGCTTCTTTTCAAAAGAGTTTTTATGAAGTTGAGCACGCCCACGTAAGTCCATTTTACAATAATTTACGTGGTTCAGTGTCTCGAGATGCATTGAGACGCATTGCTGAAGAGTTAAAATGAGTTGATTATGTTGGAACTAACAAGGAAATATGTCGTTGTACTCTTAGAACAACCTACGAATTACCTTGTGCTTGTGAGTTGACAAGATATAGAATTGACGGTTTACCGATACCAATAGATGTTGTACATGTTCATTGGAGAAAACTAAGTATGGAAGTTAAGTTGGACGAAGATGTAGATGATGGATCAGAGGTGGATATGAGTAGTGCAATAGATGAGTTATGGAAAAGGTTTAAGTCATTGGATGTTGTTGGGAAAAGGGCATTAAAAAGTAGGGTTTTTGAACTTGCCTTTCCTACAATGACTTCTATGTGTCCACCACCTGAGAAAATAAAAACTAAAGGGGGAGTCAAGAAGAAAGACAAAAAACCAGTAGGATATGATGTTTATAGAGACCCTTCGTATCACGAGTATGTTGATCAAGCATCTCAATCTTCACAGATGCAATCTCAACCATCACAAACTTCGAAGAAATTGAAATTATCACAGTCTTCACAAAAGAAATCTCAACCATCACAGGCTTCGAAAAAGTTGAAATTATCACAATCTTCACAGTCATCTAAGCAGTTCATCCTTCAATTTCCTAATCACATCAGGTCATATATTGATGATGTAGTTAATGTTGTATCAGATGGTAATTGTGGATTTCGAGTCATTGCTTCATTGCATGGATATGGTGAAGATGGTTGGCCAATGGTTCGTCGAGACTTGGGGTTGGAAATAATATATAATGAAAGATCAAGTTTGTATGTCAATTTATTTACTGATCAGTTAGCAGTAGTGAGAGAATCTTTGATGATAGAGGAATTTGGTCCTCAGCCACCACATAAATGGTTAACTCTACTAAATATGGGTTACGTGATAGCGAATCGTTATAATGTTGTACTTGTCTGTTTAGGAATTGAATGCTGGACTTTCTTCCCTATGACATCTTCATTTTCACCGAATGCAGCAATTTACTGCATTGGTTTTGTAAACAAAAATCATTGGGTTCAGGTACTTAGTTGTTTTTGGATAATGCGATTAAACCTAATTCTTTTTCGTTATTTTTACTTAATATTGCGAGTTATTTTTTTTATTTAGGTAAACATGAAAGAAGGGTTTCCATTGCCACCAGTGACAGTAGATTGGAAGAAGTTTCGTTCTCTAGCAGCAACATCTTGGATGATAGGATTTGCAGGACGTCTACAACATTGGCAACAACTTACGCCTATATTACCAACGCATTATGAATTATAAATTATGTTACTCATTTTTAATTTCAAAACAAGAATCGGGAATTATGTTAATCGTTTTTAATTGCAAAACATGAATCGTGAATTATGTTACTCATTTTTTATTACAAAATATGAATCGTGAATTATGTTACTCATTTTTAATTGCAAAACATGAATCGTGAATTATGTTACTCGTTTTTAATTGCAAAACATGAATCGTGATTAATGTTACTCGTTTTTAATTGCAAAACATGAATCGTGAATTATATTAACACATAAACATAAACTAAATAGGTCAAATTAGTCTAAAAGTTAACACATGAACATAAACCAATTAGGTCAAATATGTGTAAAGGTTAACATATAATCATAAATATAAATAAAAGTCACTGTGATAGACCAAGATGTAAAGCTTCGAACAAATCAGCAAACTGTGGGTCATCCTCTTCAGCACCAGTCTGCTGAAGATAACGATGTATCAATGAAGACATACGAGCCACTATAGGATCAGATGGTCCTGCTTCATATACAGGAACTGGCATCTCTGTTGTCGCATCAACACTGGGCGGTACCAGACGAGGATGCGAAACACGATAATACCACTCAAGATACCCATCATCTGTCTCATATGGGGTGGTGGCCGGTGTTGTCGGACGAATCACATTTTGAACGCTCTGATGGTAACTAATCCAGTCAACATCAATATCACCAGCCATTCGAGAATCAAGAGGTGGATGTGGAACATATTTCCTGTATCCAAACTGACGCAGACATCTGTCAAGCATGTATGGAACAATAGTGTCACCCCACCTCAGACACCCCCTATAGAGACATAACTCATCAAACTGACGTCATACTCTATGATTCTCGAATGGGCGTCATATGACATCAGCAGGTGTCAGCTCGTCCAGAATAGGCCGCAAGTCATCCACCTTCAAGGCACCTTGCCTATAGGACCATCTCATCGCTCGTGGGAGACCCACATTATTAGCTGGTATCCAGTTCTCTCCTCTTTTCTCAAGTGTAGGAAAATACTCATGAATCCAGCACTGTTACAAAATTTAAAATAATTAATTATAACATAATAAATTAGATAAATAAAATTAATATATTAGATAAAATTAATTAAAACAAAATATACTAAATTAAAATAAATACCTGTAGGAGAGTCGGATAACCACCAAGCTGCTTACAGTTGAACATGGAAGCATCTCCGAGATATCGGTAAAGAGTAACCAACGCAGCAACTGCCCAACTGTATCCTGATAATCCATCCAAGTCTATAAACAGTGAGAGGTATCGTGCCTCGACAAGCGTAAACGTCTTGTCCGCAAAAATAATGGAACTCACTAACATCAGCAAATAAGCTCTAGTGGCATAATCCCATCGAGATGCAGCTCTGTGCTCTACGAACTGATCATATAACCACTCCAGCTTATAGTAGGAACCCCTGCACTCACGGACTTGTTGTTGTGCTATTCTCTATGACACTCCCAAATAATCAACAACCCACTCAACAGCAAGCGCTTCACTGATATCTTGAGGGTTCCAGAAGACTCCCCTGATGGGCAAGTGAAGCAGGCAAGATACGTCATCTAGAGTAATCGTCATCTCACCAAACGGCATGTGAAATGAAGATGTCTCTAGATGCCACCTCTCTGCAAAAGCGGAAACTAGGTTTGTGTCTATCTTTGTTAAACTGTTTCTCTAAAGTGAAACTAGACCAGACTTAGATATCCAGCTCTCCATCTCACTGGGTAACTGTAGTGGAACCCTCTGAGTCAACTTTATCCCATGTCCCGCCACCTTTAACTCTTTTTTCGACCCTCTCTCCTGAAAAAAATTAAAAGTAAAAATATTATAAAATTCAATATTAAAAATTCGAATTTTATTCAATATTAAATAATTTTCATTTACTTACCTCACCGAACCATATACGGTATGCAACATGCTGTTCGTATTTAACTAATAGAGACGTATCATACGGTCCTCCGGGATATCCAACCAGCTCGGGTGCTGATGCAGATGCATCAACATGCTCTTCTTCAGCCATCCTTGATGACTCGCCCCGTCCTAGTCCATGAGGGATCCTACCATCTCTGCCTCTTGTGCGCACCACTAGAAAAAAAAATCAATATAATTAAAAAATAAAAAATAAATAAATAAATAAATATAATTAGAAAACAAAAATTAAAAAAAAAGAAAACAATGAACCGGAAGTCTTCAAGAAAGACTTCCGGAGATGAAACGAAACATTGAGTGAACCGGATGTCTTTAGGAAAGACTTCCGGTGACTAAACTAAAAAATTTTCTGAACCGGAAGTCTTCAAGAAAGAGTTCCGGTGAACAAACTCAAAAGTTTGTGAACCGGAAGTCTTCATGAAAGAGTTCCGGTGAAGAAGCAAAAACAAAATACAAACCGGAAGACTTACTCTTAGTGTTCCGGTATGTATTGCAACTGAAATGTGTTCCGAAAGTGTTTGTGTGAGAGTTCCGGTTTGTAACAAAATTTGAGAGCTTCTGGAAGTCTTAAAATGGAAAGTGAGAAATGGAAATGAAAAATGAAAAAATATAAGATTATAGATATTTAACTAAGGGTATTTTGGTCCAATATTTTTTAGTGTAGGGATGTGGATATAAGGGTAGGAATATGGGGTAAAACTTCCCTGTCAGGATAAGGATTTTAGTTATTGAGTAACCATCACACATTATTTAAATTTCTGCTTAGAGATGTCTGTGGGAATAAAAGATGGGTGTCCCTTATACTGAAACTCATTGAAAGCAGAGAAGCAGAGAGTATTTGTGGTTGTTACCTATGAAAGTACAATATTGTTAGACTCTTAAAACGATACTTATACATAGTAATAGAATAACTAGAATGAAACATAAATCAGGTATAAAAACAAAAACAAAATGAAGTGAATAGTTTATCCGAGTTTATATGAGTCTGACCGGCCGAATTTATCCAATCTGAACTGAGGAATCACAAAAGTTCATTAAACAGAATTCAGTCTTATATCAGTAGCAATGTAGCAACTACCAATATAATTTTCTTAGCTTTACAGATTGATTTCTTAATGTGATTATTTCCAAGTTTGTACCCTCGAAAACTAAACAAGATATAATATATAATCATCGATAATTTTTTACATAAACCGTGCATTTTCCGTACACAACTTATATAGACTAATCTCACTCTAAGTCAGACAGGATGACATAGATGTTAGTACACTCTCTGAAGCTAAAAGAAACATGTATCAATCTCATTATAACACTTTTGGGATATCTGACATCAATTTTAAAGCATTTGTTTTCTGCCAAGGAAGGAAGCTAGTTCATTAGTTTTATCCAAGTGCGACACTGCCCTTTTCTCATAACTCGTATCACATTCTCATGCAATCCATTCTTCGTCGCTTCCATCAGAATCCTAAAAATGGAATGGTTATAAACACGGTGAGTAACATCAAACGGTTCATATCTGTGCCAGCTATAAACTACCAACAGTTTAAAACTAGCTTCATATCTGTACGGTTAAATGCATGCAAGTTCAGGCTTGTGTTAAGATGGGAAGAATTACCTCTGAAGCATTTGAAAATTCTTCAATGTCATCGTCATCTTCAACCTACAACGATTATGTAAATGTCAAACTATGAAAAGCATTTAGTAAGGGAAATGGAAAGTAAAGTTGATTTCCTGAAATAGTGAGAGAAACCAAATGATCAAAGAGTTCATAGGTTTTCTTACTATCAGATGTTGGATTAGGTAGCATTTTGATTAAGCATGAAACGTAAGAAACACGTTGAAAGAAGATTCAATCACTAATTCCACAGACAAAAACGACATAATTCATTAAATTCCAAGAATCGGAAAATTGTACCTCGCTTTTCTTGCTTTTCGCCTTGGCTTTTTCACCTAAAATTTACAAACAAGGTAAGTTTGATAAAGTTTCATTTATGCAACAACTTAATAAGAAAAAAGAAGTAATTAACGTAGATTTGGTAGAATATTCACCAGGATTTTTGTCCTTGATCTTTCTTGCCTTTTTCTTAGATCCTTCATCCTACAACAATAAGCAATACACCTCAGCTCGTGTCTTACTCCGACATGAAACACTAAATTAAGGAATATTGTAATGTCAATCCAATATGAAGAAAATGAAACTCGGGAAGTCAGTTAAAAGAAAATCAACCAGGTCAATCTTCCTTTTCGCACCAGCAGATTGCAACTTCTGGCCAGAAGCTGAAAAAAACAAGAAAATAAATTATATTCAATTTTCATAAGCATTCTCGTAGTAATAATGTAAAGAGACTAGGAAAAGAACAACCTTTTGATGATGGAGATTTCTTTGAATTGGTTGGAGTCTTCTGAAAAAATAAAACACATGAACTTGTCAAATCCGCGTTTAATGAGAATCCACTCTAAGCGCACTAAATGATGCCTAAAATATTTACAATTCCACTCACTGAAAATGCGAACATCATCACAATCTAGCTATGTAGATAAATATCAGTCAATTTTGTCTACCTGCTTAGAAGACTGAAATACTATAACTTTTTATATCGCATGCATAACCATAAAAAATTTTCAGAAAATATATGTGCAGACAGTTTCAAAAGCATACCTTTACTTCCACTTTCTTGAATAATGAGGATATAGTAGCCTGAACAAGTGAACCTTTTTTAGATTTTGACGCTGAAGCAGGTTCTTTCTTTTCAACCACGGGGAGTTTATCTTTTGGAGAATTGTCCTCATTGTCGACGTCAATAACTGCAGTTTCTTTCTGTACTCATAAATTACGGAAGAAAATATATAAATGTCTTGATAATATAGAATATAAGATCAAATGAAGTTCTAAACTTCAAGCTGATTGACTGTGATAAAAAAATATAGAATCAAAACAAAAAATAATAGGCAAAACTATTGTTTTAGTCCTTTAAGTTATTATAAAATATCAAATTAATCACTTAAGTTTTTTTTGTAACGCTTTAGTCCCTTTTTTAAAATCTCTGTTACAATAAATTGCAAACTCGTATACCATTTGAACTGGTTTTTCGCGCTGATCACGAATATGCAATCAAATTTATCAAACAAGTTACGGTTCATGAGAATCAGATAAAAATAGACGAATTACATAATGAAAAATCATCGATCCGACCAAATACACAATCAAACGCAAAACTAATTACATATTTGTGATCAGTGCGAAAAACCAATTCAAATGGTATATGAGTTTGTAATTTATTATAACGAAAATTTTTAAAAAAGGACCAAAGCGTTAAAGAAAAAACTTAAGGGACTAACTTGATATTTTAAATTAACTTAAAGGACCTAGACAGTAGTTTTGCCAAAATAATACTATAAGTTGTAATTGTAACTACTATCCAATCAAGTTATAAACTGTATTGCCGGAATACCGAAATGTGTATAAGGATATTTGAGCTATTATGATCATTTACATTGGTATCAACTTCTACCGCTTCTTCTTCGTGTTCAGAAATGTCAGGGCTGCTTTTACCAGAATCATCACCAGAAGAAATTTCAGCAAATCTGACCCGACAAAAGAACTATATGAATATGACTTCAATACAATTTTAGAGAGCAACAGACATCAAGTAAACTAAATAGAAGATGCATATACTTGTATGATTTTTTTACAGTTCTCGCTGATTGGCGAACTGGAACCAATTCCTTTGTGTCTGTTAAGTCAAGCTCACTGTCTGATGAATCGTCTTCAAGAGGTGTCTTTGGTGACTCTTGCTCTGTACGTTTTATCTTAGTTTTAAGAACACTTTGATTAACTACAGAAGCTGCACCTGCTCCTGCACCCCCTTTAAAGTCATGTTCAGCTTGTTTTCCCTAAAACCGAAGAAAAAATACTTTATTTTCTCTTCAGGCTATATAAGCAATAAACAAAAGTTCCTTCTTATGAATAAGTAATTATAACTTTTCAAAAGTTCCTAACCTCGTACAATTCCTTAGGAATTTCCAGTTTAGCTTCTTCTGGGTTCTCATCTTTCGTCCCAATCCACAATGCATCCGAAAATACAATCTAGTAAAATCAAGATATTGCTCATAAATAAGAAACGTAGGTGTTCTTACTCACAGAGCTCAACGCCAGAAGATACAAATATGTAAATGAAGAAGCAAGAAGTTGCAATACAGAGTAATGGAAAGAACACGGGCACTGTTAGATCAAAACATGCATACATAGTGGAAGAGGAAGAGATTCATAGTGAAATCATTCACTCTACAAGATATTAAAAGGATAGAAGACGAGCACACAAGGAAGTTGTTTCCCAGAATTCACTAATAATTTGAATAATACTCTACCTTCTTCTAGTTCATGTCTCAAACTCGGAATTTAAGGAGAAAAAAAACATGAATTGTAAAAAACACCTACCATGTTATCGAAATAATCCTCACACATCACGCTCTTTCCACCTCTGGAGAACTGTAAAGTCAAGTATTTGTTCTTTGGATACAAGATAGTCCCAAATAACTTCATTCTACCCTGTAAAGTGAGAGTGAAAACACACCTCATCAGTTACCAAAACTCAACATACCGAATCAAACATCCTAAAACTTTTCAACAAGTTGTCATATAGTTGAGTGAAGTGCCGAATCAGTTTTTTTTAAAGGTGTTGAATCAGTTTTGTTAATTACAACCAAGTATGTGTGCAACCACAAGTAAACCTGTCAGATCAGTTAACAGCCAACATGGAAGGCAAATAACCAGATTTGTATAGGAACTCTGAGATCAAAGTGGTAACCCTATATGAAGGAGATATAAAAGGTGAATATTAGAGGTAAATTACAACCATAATCCAGACTCTCCTCTCTAACTTTTCGATAAATTTCTCACTCTTGAACTCTACTTACTTCTTTTCCCTCTATCAGAATATGAGTTAGTACAGATAAACTTACCACACAAAGTTACATTAAAAACAGTGAGAAAGTCCTGCAATAATTAAGACTTTTTTTATAAGTGAAGAATCATACAAATTGAAATTCATCATTGTATCTGAATCGTATTAGAAACTTCAACTAACTTTTTTATAAACACTTGTCAAGAATCATAAGAAACACTTGTGAAGTAAGAACTAATCTAAATTAAGCTTGTATTTGGCTGGTAATCTTGGTTTCTTATTATGCCTGGAAATCTCTTTTTTACAACTCCAATTAACACACTTACTGATAGCAACAAAAACAATGGTCAATCCATTACTACAACTTCATAAGTTACTCTTAATTTCTGAAATACATGTAAAAGAGTAAATAAAATTAAGTGACTGAACTGCAAGCAAAGTTACACTAAAAACCTATGTAGCACAGCCTTTCAGATTGTCATGATTTGAAACCCACAAACCAAAACCCTAAAGAAAATTGAATTCTTAATACATAATAGTAGTAAACAAGAACCTGAGGGAAATCAAGGTATAAAATGGGGTTTTTGGTACCCAAATCTTTGAGATCACCAATTTTGCCACCAGCAATAGGAGCAAAGAGACCCGGAAAGGAGAAAAGGTATCTACTACTCTTCCTCTGAGATTTCTTGATAATGTCTTTGCCGTGATGTTTGACGAGAATGGAAGAAGGGTTAAGATGAATTGAAGGTCTAGCTTGGGTTTCAGAGAGTATGTTGTTTGAAAAAGCTAGGGATTTGAGTCTCTTGCGTTCAATGGCTACTGGGTTAGTTGAATCTGGGTCTTGTTCGCCTTCTCTTGCTTTCTTCTTCGTCTTTGGTTTTGCCATTTTCGATTCAACTGTGTTTCTTCTGTGTTAGAGAGTGGTAGTATCGCGCGGGAATGAGAATGCTAGACTGAATAGTGTTTTGGATGTAGCAAAGTATAATGTTTATGCCCTTCTTGAAAAAGATGTGGACCTATATTTGATTAAAAGAAATACTAGTAAATTTGTTATTGGAGAAACTTCAACCTTATCAAAGAGGATAGTAAGTCAATATAAAGAAAGGAAAAGTTATGTTGCATAAACTAAGGGCATTTTTAGACAAATAATTTATTTGTAGTTTATAGAACAAGTGCTTATTAAAAATAAATGTTTATGAATAAATTTGGATAAGCTATTTTTATAACAAAAGATAAAATAAATTTAAAATGTTTTTATATATGTTATTAGGTAAGACAACATAATTTATATTTGCGAGTATCTATCTGAGCTCGTTTCGAATTTGATGGGAAAAATTCATTTTGACTGAGTTCGAATTTTGATTTGGATTTTCATTGATTATAAAACATGAGGACGGATCGAGTAATTGAGACATTAGTACTCATTCCAAACTCATCTCTAAACTCGTCCCGTTTATTTTATTATATTTTTTATTATTTTAGTTTTGATAATTTACAAGTGATTAATATTTTGATATTTTTATTTTTATTTATTAGGCTTAATGCATCATTTGGTCCCTTAATTTAATTTCAGTTTGATCCCTTATGTGATAAACGTTAGTTTCACGTCCTTTAACTTTAATTATGTTAGCCAATGTCATCCTTTATGTTAAAATGTGTGTATTTTCGTTAGTTTTTGCTAGGGTGGCAGTCCAGTTGGGCTTCATTAGGTGACATGGATTTATGGTATGACATTTTGATTAAAATATTTATGAATTTGCAATGTTTCATTTTAACCCAGTTTATTTCATTTTGACTTCACTTGAGCTCTCTCTGCTGGAAACCCTAACGAAGCTAGCATATATCTTCATCTTCGTTCGTGTAGTTATCATCACCCTTCATCTTTGTTCGTCAAGGTATGTTAATCATACATTTTCGTTCATCCTCATTTATGATACTTCGTTCATCTTCAGTTTCATTTCATACATTTTTGCTCTTCTTCATTTTAGGGTTTGTGTAATCTTTCTTACTAAGTGAAAGAGGAACAACGTCCATCATCTATTTTGAGGTACGAACAATGCAAACTGTATATTCTTCCCCTTCGTTTATTTTATTTCTCATTTAGGGTTTTTCATCTTCTTTAGATATATTTTTCATGTAATAGTTGTATCTAGGTGTCGCTACTGCGAAAATCGGCGCCGGCTGAACAGAAGAGTCGCCACCGCGCGTTATTTATCCCAAAGGAGGGAAAGGAAACGCTCGAGGTAAACCTACCGCAAAACGGGAAAGGAATAGTCATCGCAACCAAATCCTGGATTCGGGAGTCGGTTACGCAAGGGGAAGGTATTAGCACCCCTCACGTCCGTCGTACTCGACGGGATCCACGCTTGTTTTCTGTCGAAGGGATTGTTATTCTATCTACTCTACAGGTCTGGGGTTAAAAGAAAAGAAAATGACTCGGCAAAGTATCGCACTTTATGCCTACGTATTCCCGTCTGGAACGAGAAATCAGAGTCAACGTAGTTCGCCTACCTACTGGAAAGGAGGGGAAGGTTGCTCGCTAGGACGTCGCATCCTATGCCTACGTACTTCCACACGGCATGAAAGATCAGAGCAAACGTAGTTCGGGCCACGTACGACACAAGTCTGTCTTGTTTGTTTTTATCTCCTTCTGAAAAAGGGTTTTTCTGATTAACAGTCCAGGCGGACAAAAATGACGTTTTGATGAGTTCACATTCTTTTACGGAAGAAGTGTCTTTTATTGGATTTGAAATCTTATTGTGTTTTTCTGTTTGTTTTGAGAAAGAAGAGACAACAACTCTAACCTATGGTTGAAAAGGGAATCAAACTAACCTAATGTTATCATGCATGGGTTAAGACCTAATGTCTATCATGTTCCTCTCTTGCGCAGAGAGAAACAGAGATCCTAAGGGATAAACGGAAACAGAACAGCATATATACAGTAAAGCAGTAAAATGCATGAATGCAGCAATACAAGCGAGGCAAGGGAGTCCCACTCAACCTTGAACCTAGAAAACAACAGGCGACAGCGAACAAGATTCGCTTTTAACCTAACAGATTAATTGGCAAACAATACAGTCCGGGAAACTCAAACAATACATCAAAAATTATAAACAGCAAAAATAAACAGCAAACAGCAACTCTGCACAGCAAGCTCCATCATCTTCTATCTTCAAGTCATCTTCAAACATCTACAAGCTTCAAGTAAGCATCAATCTTCAAGGAAAGAAACTCTAACAGTAAACACCTTCAACAGCTTCAACAGCAGGGCTTCAAACAGCAGCAGTCACATGCACGGCTTCAACAGCACAATCTTCATCTTCAAGCAAGGTCTCTATCTTCAGTCTTTCATGGCTTTTCTTCAAATCAGACCCTCCAGGATGAGGAACCATCAATAGGATGAACTGGGATGTTAAACAGTTAGTTGACCACCAAAGGTGGCAAACAGACTGTTAACAAAATGTAGAATGTTTCTCTCAAAAGTTCTATCTCTTAGATACTGTCACCAAGCCTTCCAAAGGAAGGGGGTGAGTATCCTAGAGAGACTCTGCATCATAGAGAGGGATGGAGGCAAACAAGACCTTCCATGTTTATGAAGCAAGTTTCTACTTTAAGCTCTACCTAGTTCCTAGTTCCTATAAACTTCAACAGCTACAAGCAAGATATACTCTTCATCAACTCTTGAAATTGATCTTCACTCCTTTTGTCTTCAATGGCTTCATCAACAAAGTCTTCAGCTCAAACTCAAACCCCAAGCAGGCCCAATACCCCACACAGTCAAACAATAACCCTAGAAAGGGCACACCATACAATCAATCAATTACAAGAATATACTAATAATATTAATATAATAGGGGAAAGTCTAACATTTTCTAAGGGAACTATCATGCTTACCCTTAATACCCCTATAGTCCCATCTCCTAATTTGTCCTAAAAAAAAACCCAAAAAGAAACTATTTTGTTACACCTATGTCATATTCATAACCCTAATTGACTATCCAAATAGTTTCTAACTAAACTACCTAAAATAAATCCTAAAAAAATGGTATAAAAAACCAGGGGACACCTAATATCCATATCTAGTTGTACTAAAAAGAATGGGGTGAAAATCCTAAAGGAAGCTCCTAAACTAAATTCAACAATGGTAGCATCAACCAAAAGAATTAAAAAAAAGCAATTAAATGTAAAAATATGCAAAAAATATGAAAATGAAGTAAAATGACAATTTTATGGTTTCATATTTTCTTGACAGAAAATAGAAAATGGGGAAAAAAAGTCTCATTAAAAAAAAGTCATTTTTCATTTTATTATGAATTTTTAAAGTTTGATAAAATTTGGGGTAATATTAATATGAGAAAATGATCATGGGGTGCCAAAAGAAATGAAATGCAGTTATTATTCACCTCTGGGCCCAGCATGGGGGGCGGCAATAGCGAAGCGCCTGGGCCCAGTTTCACAATCAGAAAACAAATTAAAGCTAAAAAGAAAAAGAAAAAACATCGGTGCGAATAGCAGTGGAATGTAGTTCATTTCAATTGGGCCTCGCTCAAGGGGGTGTGGTTAGCAGAATCAGGAAAAGCCCACGCCAGCGTTTTAATGAAACGCTGCGTTTCAAGCGCCCAGAACTCCCTCCAAATCTCATTTCAAATCCTGGCCGTGAGATCTTCCTCCAAGTCAACCAGTCAGCGCGTACTCAATGGTTTGGATTTCATCTTCAACCTTGAGCAATTAGGGTTTCAGACTCCATGAAAAAACACTCCCATGCACGCGACTTCATCCTCATCGTACGCCCTCATTCCTCCACCAAATTACGCGATCCAAGAACCAAACTCACTCTATTTTTCACGTAGAATCCAACAATAGCATTGGTTTATATTAAAACTCTCTCTATCATCCTACCCGAACGGTACAACATCAAGAACTCAATATTTCCTCGGGTTTCAATCATCACCAAACTCACCAATCTTTGTACAAAAACAATCCTTATGCCATACTGATCACAACTAGCTAATTATCTAAAATTATAACAACTTAATCACTATGTTCTAGGTCCAAACCGAATTTACATGCACACATTAACCTCCATGAAATCTTGCCTAAAGCTCCAGAATCAATCATCTAACCACCTAAACCATGTTTAACCTAACAATTCTCTATCATGCTACCTAATTCGAGCCAAATTGTGAGAAACACTAACCTGTTAAGAAGTTGAAAACAGATGGAGATTCTCTTCAATTCACAGCTTGCAATGCTCCAAGATCATTCAATGTGCTATAATCTTGATTCTGTATGCAACAATTCGAGCTCAAACCACCTGGATCTTTGTAACCGATTCTTCTTGCACTTGAAGAAGAGAAAATTGCATAGCACAATCCTTGCAGTTTCTTCTTCAGATCTTGCTTGTAATCTACTCAGGGATGATTATTGAATAGAATGGGAACAAAATCTTGAAGAAAGGATGAAGAATTGAGAAGTTTTGAAGCAATTTGCAAAAATGCAAGATGGAGTGAAACTATGAGTTTTTGATCCAAATGAAGTTCAACCCCTTTCTGGATCAGCTCTAGTGTTTATATAGATGATGATGGAAAGTTCTGGAAGATGCTAGATTAATCCCATGAGAAGTTTCATATATCATTGCATGAGAAAGTGAAAATGGCCAAGTTGAAAAATCAGCTCTGCATTGCCTTGTTACAGCCCCTCAAAATCTCTTGAATTTCTCTTTTCATGACAATTAGAGAGTGTAGAAACCATCCCTTGCCTTGCACCTTGGTCCTAGCTTGATTTGGCAAGTGTATCTTCTTTTACAAGCAACTTATGATAACTCCAATTTCTTGACTTCAAACCAAAAAACTAATATTGCCAATGATCTTAAAATGCAATTTACCT